GATCTTTACTGCTTTAATCTAGTCTCAATAAGAGAAATCTCTCAATATTTGACCTTTCTATACCCTATATCATTCCATTTTAACTTCACCCCTAATCGTCATCCCTCCTACATACTCCAATTCGTAGTTATCGTGATGGGTCCATGCCGCAGCAGCCGATACAATCTGACGGGGTCTGCATGGGACTAGGTAGGGGATGGAAAAGGGGTTTGCAGGCGCAACGCCTTGGTCTTCCCTGACAACTCACCTGTTCAACTCTATTTATTGATTTCATTTTATTTTATTTCTTCGTATCATTATTGTCTTATTCATCGTAATTTTCATTCCCCCTCCGTCTGGACCATCTCGATTAGCCTGAGTTGGAGAACCCACCTCTGCCAAGACTAATATCAATGCCATGAAAGTATAGAATTAGAATAAAAAATAGAAACGACAGATACAAAGAATCAAATCAAATCAAAATAAAATACATAGTAAAACAATCAAAAATAAACAAACATATCAACGAACTCTAAACGTCTAGGGCCTCCTCGGTCTCCTCCTGCAAAAGGTTATTGCGGACTAGCCTAGCTCTGTTCCCAACTGTAGCATGGCAGGATGAGGCGAGGAGCCCGACAATTTGGATACGCCACCCGCCTACAACCTCCCATCTCGATTGGTGTTCGAGAAAAAAAAAGGAGGGGGAGATCAGAAGGACGGATGATACGTGTTCCTATCAACTGCGGGTTGTCCTGCAGACCGAGCCGTACCTACATCTCCCTCGTACTCTATCCCCAGGAACCATGCAGATGGCTGATAAAGTACGGAGTAGGTAAAGATAGCGAGCGTGATGTCCACATTCTCGGGTTCAACATGCCCCAGAGCTGGGGACTACAGGGTGGTTGGGCTACAATGGACAGATCCTGACAGACGTGGACTGAGTCCACTAGTTTGGATTCGGTTTGACGGTCTTTATCAATCGATCGGTCCTGTTTGCAAGTTTGAGCGTGTACATGGACAGCACAGCCAGCCATGATCCGACGGGATAGGCGATGTCCCCCCTGTCGGGTCTCGCTCACTATGATCACCATCGTCATGTAAGACAGAAAATAATAATAACAAGAATCATAAACAACGACGGCAAGAAGGGAAGAACACTTTTAAAGTATTTCCTGTAGTTTTGTTCATGGACTATACTATGATCATCATGATGACGGTCAAGATGATGATATAGCCCAGGTTAAGATATACCCCACCAGGGAGTGCTCTGGATTTGTAGTCGCAGATTGACGAAATCGAAGGGAAGAAGGTTTCTAATCACATCATGAGTCCCAATTCTTCCAAGATCAACTTCACCTATTGGGTTTTCTTTCCCCCCACGAGCGGTTGATGTCTGATCGACCATCGATCCATGGTTGACGACTGGACAAGGCCGTCTTGTCAACTGCTGACTCCACTATTTTGATTATTTATTTTCATTTTCTTATTTTCTTATTTTCTTATTCTTCTTTGCTTAATCTATTCTATTTTATTTTATTTTTATTTGATCAAAATTTCTTAATTGATTATCATCGTTATTTCCATCTATCCAAGATTATTCCTTCTATATCCTAACGATCTGTTCTGTCCATTGTACTGACGACTGGATCGCCCCCTCCGTGACCGCTATTTTCGGGTCTGTCAGTATCGCGGAGGCTGCATTTTGCACTCTTGTTTCTTCTTCTTCCTTCTCTTCTTGAACATTGCTCTTCCACAACCTGACTCGATCTCTGCTCCCTCCTGATCTACTCTTACATATCCTAGTCTCCCACCAGTGAACGCTCTCTGATGCTTTTCCGACTGTCCCTTTTCCCGTTCCACTCGTTGGATCGTCTGTGCTGACCTGCCAGCTCGACCTGACGTTGATCCTCCTGTTTCACTGGTAATTCCTTTGGCATTCTGTATGTATCTTGTATTTTTCTCGTCTTTTTCTTTTCCTTTTTTTCTCTTCCATTTGGGTCTAATTTTCCATCCTTTTCTTGAGACTTTTTAGTTCTACTTTATTTTCTTATTTGTATTCTTTTTTTCCCTCTCTTTTTCCCTCTTGAGCCCCATATCCCCTCCTTCTCGTCGCTTTCCACATTGAACCATTTTGACTTTTTCCCTTCTCTTGTCTTTGCTGGCTCGTCACTTGGATTCTGCATGCGGTGGACCATCCATCACGTTCCCCTTTTGCTTCCTATCTCGACCCCTCTATATCAACCGGACCCAACCCTCCCTCCCGTTCCTCCCGTTCCTCCCGTTCCGCTCGATGGGCAGTAGTAGTCGACCATCTCTCGATCTATATCCCACCTAGAACAACCCTCCTCTTCCCCCCTCCAAATCCACTACGCCCAGCCCTATTGATCATCCCCACCACTGAGATTTTGGGCCAGGCTGGTCATCCATTTTTCCACCATGGCGTCGCCAGTCCATCCCTCTTTCACCACTTCCTCCGCGAGTTCCAGTGACATGAGTCGTTCGAGAAACAACTCGGATGCTATGGATATATACGCTATCACCGATAGAGAATCTGGAAATCCTCCATACAATTGGAACCCCAATGGGTCTCCTGGTCTACAGGACACTTCTAGCAAGTATTTCTCTCCGCTTTCTTTTTTTTTCTTTTCTGTCTTTCGTTGTGTTCCCCATGCTCTTCCCCCACGAGTTCATGTGCAAGCTCCCGCCATTTCTTTACTCCCCCCTCCCAAATGAATCCCTGATCAGCGCAACTCCTCTTCCACTCGTGTCACTGGACGACTAATGTGTGCGCCATGTTTCGCGTGTCGCGCTATTGCAGGAACGATAGACACGCCTTCGATGAAGAGAATGGGCGCACGTACCATGGTTATCGCCGCGGAGTGTATTTTCTTCCTTGCGATGAACAGGAGCAGGACCGTCTGGATATCTTCCACAAACTCTTCACCGTCGCCCGGGTCTCCAACGCCTTGATCTATGCCCCGCACCCGAGCAATGGCCGCTTTCTCGACCTGGGCTGCGGAACCGGCATCTGGTCCATCGAGGTGGCCCAGAAATACCCCGACGCCTTCGTGGCGGGGGTCGACCTCGCCCCCATCCAGCCGCCCAACCGCCCCAACAACTGCGAATTCTACGCCCCCTTCGACTTTGAAGCCCCCTGGGCCATGGGCGAAGATTCCTGGGACCTGATCCATCTGCAGATGGGCTGCGGCAGCGTCCTGGGATGGCCGAACCTGTATCAGAAGATCTTCGCCCATCTGCGCCCGGGAGCCTGGTTCGAGCAGGTCGAGATCGACTTCGAGCCGCGCTGCGACGACCGCTCGCTGGACGGACTGGCGCTACGACACTGGTACGACAACCTGAAGGAGGCGACCGAGGCCCGCATGCGCCCTATCGCCCACAGCTCTCGCCAAACCATGCGCGACCTCCAAGACGCGGGGTTCGTCGACATCGATCACCAGATGGTCGGCCTACCCTTGAACCCCTGGCTCCAAGACGCACACGAGGAGAAAGTCGCCCGCTGGTACAACCTGGCCATTTCCGAGAGCATCGAGTCCCTCAGCCTGGCGCCCTTCCACCGCACTTTCGGCTGGGACGTCAAGCGCATCCGTCACCTCGCCGCCGAGGTCAAATCGGAGGCCTTCAACAAGGAGATCCACGCATACAACATCCTTCATATCTACCAGGCCCGGAAGCCCAAGGCTGTCAATTGATCCGTCCGCAGGCGCCTGCGATTCCCGTCGCGGTCGTTGGTACTGGGCCGAACATAACGGCTTCGAAAGACTGATTGTCACTTTGACCGTTTGCCATTCGCCCTCCCCCGCGCACGGGGGACGGGCGACGGCCGTTGCGGGAGGATGGCAGTTGCGGATGAATCGAGGCACTTCCTCCATTTTCGTCATCTTCTGGACTTCTCTCCCGGCAGTCATCGCCCATGCACGGGCTGACAAAAAACGTCATATATCGCCGCCCAACCACACCACGAACGAAGACAGCCACGTCACAACATTCAGAGACAGAACGATGGCAGTGGGTTGGCCTTGTTTCGCGCCGTTTTGTGATGCGCGGTGCCAAATCAGGGCCATGTAGTGATTCTCACCCGGCAACTTCCATCGCGGAAATGTTCTCCCATGAGAACACGGGATACAGTACGCAGCCCGCACGGGGATAGTTACCGGCATGGCAACGCCAAATCACGTATTACTCGGTGACGGACCAGGGCATTCTGGGCTTACAGGACATTCTCTTGGTGGGGGCATGTCCGGCTACCACGTGACTCGGTAGGTCCGCACAGCACCACGCAAGGGGTACTCCTAGTTGAGAATACAACACAACACAACAAACGAAAGAAAGGGAAAGAGAAAGAGAACAGAAAAAAAGGAGATATCAGATGTTATCACGGGTCAGGACATTCATAGTGGATTCTGTCTGATTGACAGGACACCCGCCATACATAATACGGAGTTCTCGAAGACCCACCGACATACCTAGGTGGCGGTTTTGTTCGAGACCTGCGTAGAGAGTCCCGATCGACTCAGTTGATGTCTAATGAGTCATCTGAATGTATATCTCAAAAAAGTGGTATTTACCATTTGGTTGGTCATAAGCCAATCTCCCTCCTACCTGTATATAGCCCATAGCCCTATACGACCTACTATGGTACTCGCGAGGGAAAAAGAAGCATAAAAAAAGACAAAATGAGATAAACATTAAATTAAAAGAAATGAGAAAAATATGAAGATTTAGATATAAAATAGTTCGGAATTTTCCAACTGGTAGGGCGCACTTTTGTGTTTATCAATCTGTTCGGACGGGAAATATATATTCGGGTGCACCCCCGAAGGGGCGATAAACTCGAGGATAATGCAACTCTCTCTCTCTATATCTAAACATTGCTTCAGGCCACAATTTTATAACACTTCATCTACTACTAGGGTCCTTGCTACTTTCGTGTTAACCGTTTGTGAAAAGTACAGTATTATGGATAAATAAATAAATATGAAAAGTGACCATGCGATGATGCTGTCTCGCCCAACGCCAACTCCAAAGTTAACGCCCAGTGAAATCATTCAACCAAACCAAACCTTGCATAGACCCCACGCATACTTCGTCAATAGATAAGTAGGATAGACAGGGATAGGTATATAAATTAGAGAAATGAGGGACTATGCATTCCGCCGCCGACCGCGCTGGCCACCTCCCCGGCCGGCTCCGGCCTTCTCCTTCTCGCCCTCACCATTCGTCTCGCGACCCGCTCCGGGACTCCGTCGACGCATGGTCCCCGGCCCGACGGCGACGATGTCTTCTTCGCTTTCGGAGTCGGAAATGTCGAGCAGGACGGGCATGCGGAACGAGCCGAGGTCGTCGCCGTCGGGATGACCTGCTGGGTCCGAGACGGGAAGGGCATAGGTGGAGTGGAGGGAGGGCTCGATGGTCAACACGTCAGGGACTTCATCTTCCTGGTCGAGGCGGCGCTGGTGGATTTCCTCTGCAGGGTGGACGTCGAATTCGTCCTCGCGCTCCATGTAGACGACGTTTTCTTCGACTTCGCCGAAGTCAGGCGCCAGCGCGGACCACTTCTGCGGTGACACGATCGACCACGTGTAGAGGCAGCCGGACTCGAGGCCGCAGGCGACGACCATGGGGCGGGAGGGGTGCCATTCGACGACGCCGAGTTCCTCGCGGGGGCCCTCGAGAATCTTGACGAGGGAGCCGTGGCTGCGCTCCCAGACGTAGATATCTGGGTTCATGAAGGTGGAGGCTGTGACGAATTCGCTGGTGGAGGAGAAGGTCACGTGGTTCCAGCTGAGGCGGTTGACGACGTCTTGAAACTTGTGTTCGACTTGGAGTTTGATGGAGGAGGGTTCGAGGTCGACGCCGAGGCGGGAGAGGTCGGGCATGACGATTGTGCGGATGACGCGGTCGGAGCTGTTGGAGAGGAGGTCGCGTCCGTTGCTGGAGAGTCGGAGGAGGATGACGACGCCGTTGCAGAGACGCATGGAGTAGATGGTTGTGCAGGTCTGTGTTTCGATGATATTGAGCCAGCCTTTGGATGTTCCGGCGATGATGTGGTTGCCTAGTGCCGTGAAGATCGTTACGCACGTCGAGTGTTTCGCGTCTTGGGCGGCTTGTTTCGCGATGACGGCGGGGTCAACTTCTTCGTCTGGTGGTGGTGGGGCGCGGAACGGCGCCGAGGGGAGGATGCGCTTGATGGGTTTCGGGGATGAGATGTCGACTAGCACGGGCTGGTCTTCGAAGAGGGAAGCGACGAAGAGGAGGCTGTTATAACGAGAGTCAGTACTTGCGATGGGGGTTTGGATTGGTTGGAGGGAGGAGGTACGTACTGATTGTAAGGGTGTAGTTCGGCGATGTATACTGGGGCCTCGAACCGCACGGTGCGCACGCGCGACCCGTCCTTCAAGTCCCATAGAATACACTTCCAGTCCTGCGACGAGCTGAGGAGGTACCGGCCATCGCGCGACCAACTGTGTATCCATATCCATTAGAATGATCCCAATGATGCCTGGCGGTACGGCACATACCTCAGCGATTGGATCTGCCTGGTGTGGCCCCGTAGCTTGCGCGCGACTCCATTTGTCTCAATATCGAAGATGACCACTGTTCCGTCCACCTGTACCGATTCGTATCAACAATGCGATGCAGCAATAGAAGGGAAACACACTCGTCCGGAGGCTAGGTAATCTCCTTTGCGATTGAAGCGCAGACATGTCGCATGGCCGCTTCCTGTTCGAATTAGATGACATCCTTCTCTTCTCGCTTTCCACCCCTCTGTCGCTTATGAGATGAACATACTGAGTTTCTCCGTCAAAGTATCCGGGTAGTCCTGAGCCAGGACGAAAGGATCGATCAGCGACAAATTCATGGCGATGGTGATGCGCTGAGCTCAGGAAAGTCAAGCTTTAGTGAGAGGAACAGAGTAAAGCCTCAGGCCGCAAGTGAGGCCAGAAAAAACCACTAAAAACAATCATCCAGCGAACATCAGTCTGAGTTCAACTGAAACGAACAATGATTCCAGCACTGTTGATCACCACCATTTGTTGTATCAGCAAGTGAATGAAGCAAATGAAGGGTGGCGTCCAGCGGGCGGTGAAGCAGCAAAAGTGACTGATCCGGCTCCACTTTGGCCTGATCGGACCGCCGCTGACTGGCCGGGTCTGCCTTTCTGCCTGATTCCAACCACTGAGGGTGACGGCAGAATTCCTCAGCCACCGCCTTTCCTGCCTGCGGCTCGGAAAACTCGTGCCCCATCGTCCCCCAAACCTGACGTCCGCCATCTCCCTTTCATCGCCTCAACACCGCTACCTCTCCCATCGCCCCATCCCTCCCCGCCCATCGCCTTCTTGTTCCCCATCTCGTTTCTCGAGCTGGAGACATCGCCCGGATTATCCTGACGCCTTTTTCTACGCCCTTTCCCCGTTTTCGAGTTTCGCGACGTCGGAGAACAAGGTCGCAGGCGCCCTCGTGGCAAGGGCGGCCAGAGGCCTCAGCCGGCCAGCTGCTTCGAAATCTTTTCAACGTCGATTCCTCTGACGCTTGAGAGCGAGAATTATCGACAACTCGTGGATTCGCATCTTCCCGATCGTTGAGAACCCCCCCGTGCTCCGTCTGCTTTTTTGTGACCCGTCTTATCCTGTTCCCCTTGTCTAAGTATCCGCGTCTCGGTGACGACAACGACTGCCCACCATGACGAATGTTTACTTTCCCTACTCCAAGGCGCCTTTGCGCACCGTCAAGGAGATTCAGTTCGGTCTTTTCTCTCCGGAGGAGATCAAGCGGATGAGCGTGGTCCATGTGGAATATCCTGAGACAATGGTGGGTTTGATTTCTTCCTTTCTGCTTTTTCTTTGTTGTTTTTGTGTATCTTTTCATCTTCATTTTCATCTTTATCATGCTATTCCCTTGCCATCTACCCGTTCAGGCCAGTCTGGCGATGGAAATGCTGACCCGTGGCGACAAAAACAGGACGACCAGAGACAGCGCCCGCGGACCAAGGGTCTAAATGATCCTCGTATGGGAACGATCGACCGACAATGGAACTGCGAGACTTGCGAGGAAGGCCAGAAAGAGTGTCCTGGTCATTTTGGACATATCGAACTGGCCACTCCGGTCTTTCATATCGGTATGCGGCGCCAGTTGAAAAGACGCGTTATTGGAAATTATCAATCGCTAACCTTGCATCCTAGGCTTCTTGACAAAAATCAAGAAATTACTCGAGACTGTCTGCCACAATTGTGGAAAGATTAAAGCTGATTCGGTTAGTCATCCCTCACGGGATGGCAAATCTCATCAGGCGGTGTTGCTGACTTGATTACCAGTCCGATTCCAAATTTCTCGAAGCTTTGCGAATGAGGGATCCGAAGAGACGATTCGACCACATCTGGCGCATGTCGAAAGATATCCTGGTTTGCGAGGCAGACCCCCCTCCGGAAGATGACGACCCGTTCTCGAAAGAAAGCTCGAAGCCGCAGCGGTTCCACGGTGGATGCGGCAACGCCCAACCTACGATCCGCAAAGAAGGAATCACCCTGGTCGGCACGTGGAAGCCGAGCAAGAGCATGATGGACGAGATGGATATGCAGCAGCCGGAGAAGAAGACAATCACCCCCCAGGTCGCGCTCAATGTGTTCCGGAACATATCTTATGAGGAGGTGCGCATCTTGGGTTTGAGCAATGACTATGCGCGTCCGGAGTGGATGGTGGTCACGGTCCTGCCGGTGCCGCCCCCCCCGGTTCGTCCTAGTGTGCTCGTGGGTGGTAGCACCAGCGGCCAGCGCGGTGAGGATGATTTGACTTACAAGTTGGCTGAAATCGTGCGAGCAAACCAGAATGTCCAGCGCTGCGAACAGGAGGGTGCCCCGGAGCACGTTGTTCGCGAATTCGAATCCTTGCTGCAATACCATGTCGCCACTTACATGGATAACGACATCGCCGGCCAGCCCAAGGCTATGCAAAAGTCTAACCGTCCCGTCAAGGCTATCCGCAGCCGTCTCAAGGGTAAGGAGGGTCGTCTGAGACAAAACTTGATGGGTAAGCGTGTGGATTTCTCTGCGCGTACCGTCATTACGGGTGATCCAAATCTGTCCCTCGACGAGGTCGGAGTACCCAAGAGTATCGCCAGGACCCTGACCTACCCCGAAGTCGTCACGCCCTACAACATCGAAAAACTCCAGAACCTCGTCATGAATGGTCCGAATGAACATCCAGGCGCGCGGTATATTGTCCGGGACAATGGCGAGCGCATTGACTTGCGCCACGCTCGACGGGCTGGTGGTCAGCAGCTGTTGTATGGATGGAAAGTGGAGCGGCATGTCATGGATGGTGATGTGATTTTGTTCAATCGTCAGCCGTCCCTGCATAAGGAATCCATGATGGGTCACCGTGTTCGTGTAATGCCATACTCGACGTTCCGACTCAACTTGTCGGTCACGACACCTTACAACGCCGATTTCGATGGTGATGAGATGAACTTGCACGTCCCCCAGAGCGAAGAGTCGCGCGCTGAGCTGAGTGAGCTTGCATTGGTACCCATGAACATCGTTTCCCCTCAGCGAAATGGTCCCCTCATGGGTATCGTGCAGGATACTCTCTGCGGTATCTACAAGATTTGCCGACGTGATGTGTTCCTCACCAAGGACCAGGTCATGAACCTGATGCTGTGGGTCCCTGATTGGGACGGGGTAATCCCGCCTCCGGCAATCTTGAAACCTCGGCCCAGATGGACCGGCAAGCAGGTGATCAGCATGGCTTTCCCATCCGGTCTCAACCTCTTGCGCGTCGACAAGGATAATTCCACACTGTCGGAGAAGTTTTCCCCGCTGTCCGATGGCGGCGTTCTTATTCATGGTGGTCAGCTGATGTATGGTATGCTGTCGAAGAAGACTGTGGGTGCTACCGGTGGTGGTGTCATCCACACCATCTTCAACGAATACGGTCCCAGGACTGCTGTGGCTTTCTTCAACGGTGCCCAGACCATTGTGAACTATTGGCTGCTCCACAACGGGTTTAGCATTGGTATTGGTGACACCATTCCCGATGCGCTCACGATCCAGAGGATTGAGAACTGTGTGCGCAACAGGAAGAATGAAGTTGAAGAGATCACCGCGAGCGCGACCGAGAACCAGCTTGAGGCGCTGCCGGGTATGAACGTGCGTGAGACGTTTGAAAGCAAGGTTTCCCGCGCTTTGAATAACGCCCGTGACGAAGCCGGTAGCGAGACGGAGAAGAGTTTGAAGGATCTGAACAATGCCATCCAAATGGCCCGCTCAGGATCCAAGGGTTCTACGATTAACATTTCCCAGATGACTGCGGTCGTCGGCCAGCAGTCCGTCGAAGGGAAGCGTATTCCGTTCGGATTTCAGTATCGTACTCTGCCGCACTTCACCAAGGATGACTACTCGCCCGAGTCTCGAGGATTCGTCGAAAACTCTTATCTACGTGGCCTGACCCCGACCGAGTTCTTCTTCCACGCCATGGCTGGTCGTGAGGGTTTGATCGATACTGCCGTCAAGACTGCCGAAACCGGTTACATCCAGCGAAAGCTCGTGAAGGCTCTGGAGGAGGTCATGGTCAAATATGACGGCACGGTCCGTAACTCGCTGGGCGATATCATCCAGTTCATCTACGGTGAAGACGGTCTGGACGGTGCGCACATTGAAAACCAGCGGGTTGATATCATCCGGTGCTCCGATGACAAGTTCCGGGACAGGTTCCGTGTTGATCTCATGGATCCGGAACGGAGTCTCGGCCCCGAGGTCCTTGAACAAGCCAACGAGATTGCGGGTGACGTCGAGGTTCAGAGACACTTGGATGACGAGTGGGAGCAGCTTCTCAAGGACCGCGCTTTCCTCCGCTCAGTTGCTAAGGAGGACGAAGAGATGATGCAGTTGCCCATCAACGTGCAGCGCATTCTTGAAACCGCCCGGACGACATTCCGCATTCGTGAGGGAACTATTAGCGACCTGCACCCAGCCGAAGTCGTTCCACAGGTCCGATCTCTGCTTGACCGGCTGATGGTCGTACGTGGCGACGACGATATCTCCCAGGAGGCTCAGACGAACGCGACTTTGCTCTTCAAGGCACAGCTTCGCAGTCGACTTGCCTTCCGCCGGCTCGTGACTGAGTACTCGATGAACAAATTGGCATTCAACCACGTGATTGGTGCTATTGAAATGAGATTCGCCAAGGCCGGCGCGAGCCCTGGTGAGATGGTTGGTGTTCTGGCTGCCCAGTCCATTGGTGAGCCGGCCACGCAGATGACCTTGAATACGTTCCATTTCGCTGGTGTCTCGTCCAAGAACGTGACACTCGGTGTGCCTCGTCTGAAGGAAATTCTGAATGTCGCCACCAACATCAAGACCCCGTCCATGACCGTTTACCAAGAGCCGCACCGTTCTTACGACAAGGAAGGTGCGAAGCAGCTGCGTAGTGCGGTTGAGCACACTAGCTTGCGCTCTGTGACGGAGACAACCGAGATCTATTATGATCCCGATATCCAGAGCACGGTCATTGAGAACGATCGGGACATGGTGGAGTCTTACTTTATCATCCCCGAAGATGTTCAGGATGACTCGTCTCGTCAATCGAAGTGGCTGCTTCGTATCGTTCTTAGCCGACCTAAACTCCTGGATAAGGGCCTTACTGTGCAGGATGTGGCTACCAGGGTCAAACAAGCGTACCCCCGGGACATCGCTGTTATCTTCAGTGATAACAACGCCGACGAACAAGTCATCCGTATCCGTCAAATCCAAGATTCCAAGGAGGAGGAGGAAGACGATGACATCGAATACGACGTTACCCTCAAGAAGCTGGAGCAGCATCTTCTGGACACTTTGACCCTCCGCGGTGTCAGTGGTGTTGAGAGAGCTTTCATCAACGAAAAGAACAAGGTCCGTGTCCTTGAGGACGGCTCACTGCATGTCAGCAAGACCGATCCCCTGTGCAAAGAATGGGTCCTGGAAACCAGTGGGTCCTCCCTTGGCGAGGTCCTGGCAATCCCGGGTGTCGATGCCAGTCGCACGTATTCGAACCAGTTTATCGAAGTGTTCGAGGTATTCGGTATCGAAGCGGCTCGTACTGCTGTGCTCCGTGAATTGACCCAAGTGCTTGCCTTCGATGGTTCGTATGTCAACCACCGTCATCTGGCCCTGCTGGTTGACGTGATGACTGTGCGAGGATACTTGACCCCCGTCACTCGCCACGGTATCAACCGTGCCGACAACGGTGCCCTCATGCGTTGTTCTTTCGAAGAAACGGTGGAAATCCTGCTGGAAGCCGCCGCTTTCGGAGAACTCGATGACTGCCGCGGTGTGTCTGAAAACCTGATCCTCGGCCAGATGGCTCCCGCGGGCACTGGCGAGTTCGACATCTACCTGGACCAGAACCTTCTCAACACAGTGGTGTCGAACAATGCCCGTTTCGGCGTCATGGGTGCGATTGGTGCCAAGGATGCAATCATCTCCGACGGTGCTGCCACTCAGTATGACACTGGCTCCCCTATGCAGGAGTCCGCCTACATCGGATCACCGGATCCTGATTCGAACTTCTCTCCGATCCGGCATGCCGGCGCGGAGACTCCAGGAATGGACTACCAGCCTTCCGGTGGCGGTTTTGGTGGTGGCTTCAGCCCTGCGCCGACCAGTCCCGCAGGCTACTCGCCCAGCAGCCCCTTCCATCCGACATCTCCTGGGTATTCCCCGACGTCGAGCTATTCTCCCACGTCTCCCGGAATGGGCATCACCAGTCCTCGTTTCACGACGTCCCCAGGATTCTCCCCCGCCAGTCCGTCCTTCGCGCCGACGTCTCCCGCCTACTCGCCTACGTCTCCGGCGTATGGCCAAGCATCCCCGACCTCGCCGTCGTACTCACCCACCTCCCCTGGCTTCTCGCCGACGTCGCCGAACTACAGTCCTACGTCTCCAAGCTTCAGCCCGGCGTCGCCGGCGTTCAGCCCAACGTCGCCGAGCTATAGCCCGACAAGTCCTGCGATCGGTGGTGCCGGCCGGCACCTCTCTCCCACCTCACCCACTTCCCCCAAGTACACGCCTACTTCTCCTGGATGGTCTCCCACCAGTCCCCAGACGTACTCCCCGACGTCTCCCAACTTTGCCGGCTCGCCGACGTCCCCTGGTGGACCTACGTCTCCTGGTTACAGTCCGACGTCGCCGGCTTTCAGCCCTTCGTAAGTGTTGGCCCACGTCCAGTACCCAAATTTCCAATCATACTAACGTGGAATGTAGGTCTCCTCGCCAGTGAGAGTCGAACGTGCATGGCTACGGTGCAGCTCCGGCTGTATCGCTGTATTATCACTTCCTCGCTCGGACACCGTCTCCAGACGAAAAAGAAAAAATGAAAAACATTTTGCATTATACGTTGCGGAAATGGTTGGTTATTTGCTCCAACATTCGGGCTTTCTAGCCTTCTTTTTCCATCTTATGTCCTTTTCTTAACTGTATCTTTTTCTCCCGCCTCAGACCGAGAAGGCCATACTATTTTTTTTTATTATTGACACGTCCGCGAGATTTCCTTACTGAAATTGCGAACGAATCCCCCGGTTCCTGATGCTTGTTTTCTGCTGTTTTTGACCTTTCTTCGTTCAGGCGATTGAAATACCAAGCGTTTTCTTAGAGTTGGACGATAGGCCCTCGGACAGTCCCCCCGGTTTATCACGGCGAGCGCGACGTTTTTGAAGTGGCCTATCGGTCCGGATCACATGGGGAAAGATGGATGGATGGAGAGACAGACGTTGCTTTGATTGTATTAATGCGGTTTCACTATTTCTTTTTTTCTTTTCCTGTACACAGCTGTAGCGGCAATGGATAATGGACAAAAAAAAAAAAGGATATTAACAAGAGTCGAAATAAAAAAAAAGACAAAATTGAAAAAACCTATCATTGTATCCATGGAATCACAGTAGTTTATCATTAGGGAGTAAACTTTTGGTAGTCTGTCGTAGAGAAGAGACGTCATGCTTGATATTGTCCGTCAATATCGATGCCAAGGGGAACGTCGGGGAAATGAAGGTCCGCGAAGCCAGGTGGCCCGATCCGCATCGACTATCTATCATGTTGACGCAACTCCGTTAAGCTGGAGCTGCCGACCATCCAACTCTTCAACTCACTTATCCACCCTGTTTCACTACTTGTCTCTTGCACATTTGACCACGCTCATGTTCTGATCTAGAAGCGGGTCGCCATGCGCCTCTCGCTGCATACTATCATCGATCTTTCTCAGGAACCATGAAGTACCTGTGGCTATGGCGTTTCCTGCCGTTGGCGTTGCGTGAGTAGCTGGTCTTCCTATCCTATTGCCATGGGCGGTGATCCTCAAGTTGATGGACTATACTAACGACTGATGCGATTGTCTACAGTGCTCCTGCAGACGCTGGTGGCTGCGTCCGAAGGTCACCCGGATCGTGAATCTACCACCGATGTCACCCGCCAACCCCCACCCGGCTCAACCAAACCCCCAGGCGGGACGGACGACTTTGAGCCCTTACCTGGACATGGTGAGACCTACAGCAGATTCCCGACCCGTCGCGTGTTCGCCACTGACCATGTCAAATGTTCCATGGTATAGAACATGTCGAGTCCGCTTTGAAAATTCTCCACGCCGCCAAACTCCCCGCCACCACTTTCGACAAACCGTCCGGTATCCTGGGATACACCTGGCACTATGCCCGACAGGCCATCCATCTATTGTTTCTGAACGGGCCGTCATCCGATGGAACCGACTCCAGAAAGGTCCACCCGAACGTCGCCAAAGCCGTCAACGAGCTCGAGTTCGCCGCCGAGGAGGAGTTGAACCCCGACGCCATGTTTCTTCTCGCCGAGATGAACTTCTACGGCAACTTCACCCACCCCCGAGATTTCGGACGCGCCTTTTACTGGTATCAGACCCTTGCATATCTAGAGGGCAACAGCACCGCGCAGTATATGGTGGGGTTTATGTATGCCACTGGGATCGGGGGCGCCGTACAACGCGACCAGGCCGAGGCGCTGCTCTACCACACTTTTGCGGCCGAGGCGGGGAATACAAAGTCGGAGATGACGCTTGCATATCGCCACCACTCTGGCATCGGAACCCCGCGCGACTGCGACCAGGCGACGTATTACTACAAGCAGGTGGCAGATAAGGCCATCGAATACTACCGGTCTGGGCCGCCGGGCGGACATGGCATGATCAAGGAGTCATACCGTTGGGCCGATGAAGAGGGCGGTGTCTATGGGGAGGGTGCTAGTATGTCGAGCTCGGGTCCCAGCGCCTTGCGGGATGTTCACACCAATACCGAGGCGAGTCTGGAAGATGTCCTGGAGTATTTGGATCTGATGTCACGAAAAGGGGAGCTCAAGGCCACATTCAGTTTGGGGAAGATGCACTACGATGGCGGTCGGGGAATGGCCCGCAATTTCCGCAAGGCAATGAAGTATTTCAAGCAGGTGACGAAGCGGTACTGGAATAAGGATGGGTCCATCAACCCCAACCACCCCTCAGGGGTCGAGAAACTATCGTCCAAAGCGGCGGGTTTCATAGGGTTAATGTACCTCCGCGGAGAGGGTGTCGAGCAGAGTTTTGCGACTGCCCTGACTTGGTTCAAGCGGGGCCTTGCCAACGGGGACGCCATCTGTCAACACCACATTGGACTCATGTATCTCAACGGGTACGGTGTTCCTCAAGACGCCTATCGAGCGGCGTCATATTTCAAGTCAGCGGCAGACCAAGATATTGCCGCGGCGGAGACGCAACTTGGCGCCTTATTCCTGGACCAGGGTGACATTCCCACTGCCACCCGGTACTTCGAGCTTGCTGCCCGCTGGGGGTGGATGGAGGCCTTTTACTACCTGGCAGAGATGTCGAACAATGGCATCGGCCGGCAACGGAATTGTGGCATGGCCGCGTCGTACTACAAGATGGTCGCCGAACGCGCGGAAGCGATCCACTCTTCCTTCCCCGAGGCGAATGCGGCGTACGAGAGGGGCGATTCGGACACTGCACTCATTGCTACCATGATGGCGGCGGAGCAAGGCTATGAAAGTGCGCAAGCCAACGTGGCATTCCTGCTCGACGAAGAGAAGGCGCTGTTTTCCCTCCACCGGATCTTGCCAGGCACCAAACCGGAACGACATTCCTTGCTCCGCAACGCTGCGCTGGCCTTGATCTACTGGACACGGTCGGCTAAACAAGCGAATATCGACTCCTTGATCAAGATGGGCGACTATTACCTAGACGGCGTCGGCATCGCGCCGGACGCGGAGAAGGCATCGACCTGCTACCATTCGGCGGCGGAAGCGCACTACAGCGCGCAGGCATTCTGGAATCTCGGCTGGATGCACGAGAACGGAATCTCCGTGGAGCAAGACTTCCACATGGCCAAACGGTACTACGACCTGGCGCTGGAGACTAGTCCCGAGGCTTATCTCCCGGTCAAGCTGAGCCTGCTCAAGTTGCGGGCGCGGAGCTACTGGAACCAAATCACGAACGGGAAGATCAACTCGATCCAGGAAGACGAAGGTAAGAACGGCTTCACCACGATGATCCCACCGTCGCTACTACCACCCACCTGAGCGAATGCTAACTTTGGGATCCGGCCCCGGACAGAACCCAAGCCGCGACGGACCTTGAAGGAATGGATCACGGCATTCATCGAGAACGACGAGGAAGAGGAAGCGCACTACCGCGCCCAGATGTACCAACAGGACGAGGAGGACGACTATCTGTCTGGCGGGGATCGCCTGGACGACCGCGACGACGGGTACTATGATGACCTGGAGCTAGATATAGACGAGAGCGTCCTGGAAGGACTCATCATCGTGGGGCTGGCTGCGGCGTTGCTGATTCTCGTCTACGTGCGACAGCAGCGGAATCGACCCCGGCCAGACGAGAATGCCAACCCCGCCGACGCCGGCAATGCGAATAACAACCAGGGGCTGTTCCCTCGTCCGGGCGAGCCTGAGTTCGCGCAGTGGGTTGCTGGCGGGGTGGGGCATTGATTGGCTCGTAACTTTTGGTGATGTTGACTGTACATGTAATATGATGATCAATTTTATGATGCGTCGGGTGTAGATCTGTAGTTGTCTGCAGGCCCGTTTTATCTACATTTTCTATTTCTTTAGAATTTATCTACATTGGTTCCCTTGATCTGTATCCTGGATTGGCAGACCACGTGGTTGATAATCTTATCAGCTTATCGATAACCCCACAGCTTTTCTCCAACAATCAATCTCCTTCATCCCCTTCACCTGAAGCACGTTCAATCTCTTGAACAATGTAACCACCATCCCCTTGAATTGCCCCAATCCGCGAGACACAAGCATGACACCCCTCAAACGACGTCGTCTCGACGCTACCTCCTCAACCCTCTCCAAACTCTTCAAGTCTCCCCTGCGCCGACCACCCGCGACCTCAGAAGCAGCAGCAGCAGCACACCACACGCCCACCAAACACGAAGACCACACGCCATCAACAACCACACCACACGCCCGATCCACCCTAGACACTACTATCACCATCCCACATACAACAACGCCAGCAGCAACCTCCACCCCCACCCGAATCTCAAAGAGAAAACACACACCTCTCCTCCCCGCAGACCCCACCCTCCTCCACCTCCAGAAACAGCAACGTCTACTCCAAGCCCGTCTCTCCTCCCTACGCTCCGAGCTGGACACCGCGCAACAGGCACTCCGACTGGAATCCTCCACCCAAGACGCCGAACTCGAGGCTCTTGTCACGAAGTGGCGGAGTGTGGCGCAGAGTGCGGCGGAGGAGGTCTTCGAGGGGGCGAGAGAGCGTGTTGCGCGTATGGGGGGGATGAAGGCTTGGCGAGAGAGGATGCGCGAGGAGCGGATGGGAGGGTGGGGGGAGGAGATGGAACAGGGACGGAGGGCAGGGGGAGAAGACGATGATGGGGAGGTGTCGGAGCGACACCGTGGGCGTGGGATGGAGGAGAAAGATAGTGGGACGAGAGATGGGGATGATGGTGAAGATGAAGATGAAGAGGTAAGTTCGGTTTGGTACCTCGGAGGTGTGGTCAGGGTGATGCTTACTGGGATCTGCTGTAGGAGTTCACGATGGATGTCATGCTGAAGACGCTGAATGTGGATTTGAGGATGATTGGGTTTGATAAGGGTCAGCAAAGGTTTGTTACGGATTGACTGTGGGATTGTGGTGTACAGTATGATATATGGCGTTGTGGATAGGGCGGGTTGTGTTTGAGGTTATTGACTGCAGCGAATGCTTACTTTCATGCAATTGAATCAACAGAGACCATGCGATAACAGCAATATCGGGTTTAACTGTTGACATTCTACCCATCCATTCCGCTGCCAATCCCTATCTCGATAAATGAAGGACGCGACTAGACTGGGCCGAGTGGATATAGATTTGATATGGATAAGGATGATAAGGACCTGATGAGATCAGCAGTGTGGAGACTCCTTATCTCTCTCTCTTTGTTTCTCCGCTTTCTCCCTCGGCTTTGAGATCCCCTCATTCCTCATCCCTCTTTCTAACTCCCCATTACTTCCTACGTTGACCCTCCCGATATTGTTAATTGATACCCGGTCAAATGTCAGCCTATGCCCCTTCATCTAAAACACCCCCGTCTCCTAGCCTGTGCGCGATGCTTCCGCTTGAAGAGAAAATGTGACCACGCCAAGCCCATGTGCGGAGAATGCCGCCGCCGAGGGACTGAATGTTTACCTATGAAATCCCGCAAGGACGGTCAAGACATCACCATCCCATTGGAGTATCTGAAGCAGCTGGAGTCGCGCATTGCCGAGCTGGACCGTCCGTCGGCTGCGACGCACGATGTGGGTGTCCAGACGGACTTCTCGACCCAACAGCCCGATCCCCATCCGACTACCTTATCGGGCATGGCCGATAGTGCCCCCGGAGGTCTCCACCCAGCAGCGCAGCAGGTGTTCGGCACGCCAGACGACTATCCACAAAATGATCTGCTAAGACACGTCGCAGCGTCGGAACAGGACCTCTTGCGTGTGTCTGACATGCGCTCCCATGCCCCCCGGTTGGAAGGAGCCTTGATCTCGCGATTGGCGTACGAAGTCTACCCAGACCGACCCGGCTGGGACTTCTACGCTGGCACCGATGCCGGATCGCCACATGCGGGGTATCCGTTCTGGCAGGAAGAAGTGTACGCGAACTTGTACTTCTCCATCACGCATTGGGTGTGGCCCTTCCTGGACAGCGGGGCGTGGAAAACGTGGCGTCAGGAGTGGAACTCGGATAGTGAGGCGGATCAGTGGAAGGGCTTTCTCGTCAAGATGGTACTGGCTATTGGGGCTTTGTCCTGCAACGTTCTACAACCGAGCCAGGGCCACTCGGCCCACGCCGCGGATCTCTACACCGCCGCAATGGCGTACTACCCGTATGTGATGGGCCACGAATCTTCCATCCTGCAGATCCAGGCATCCATTCTCATGGTACTCTACGCCCTTCAATGTCCCTCGGCGGAGGAGATCTCGACGGCGGTTTCGTCTATCGTTCCGTTCTGCACGGCGACGGTGGCGGACATGAGGAAGCATGCTGCCGCTGGGAATGGGGTCGATCTGGGCCTTGCGGGGGGCGAGGGGGAGATATTGACCGAAACGTTATTTATCACATGCTTTATGTTGAATGAGATCGTCGTGTCGGGCTGGGACCGGCCGGTTTCGGCCTCTTATCGAGCGATTGACGATGATGTGAGATCACCACACCGGGATTCTTGGAGACTGTCTAATGCTAACCGGTTCAGGTCTACTCCCTCGGAAATGAGGTGCCCTCGTCCTCGAGCACCAGCACGGCGCTGCGACACCTGTTCCGACTGCGGAAGATCCAAGCCGACATTCGACGGCAATGGAGGGAGGAATCAGGACAACCGCAGGCGAATGATACGATGTTGAAATCGGCCTTGGATACATGGAGAAACGAGATCCCTCGATACGGCGTGGAAGAAGCGCCCAGTACATACCTCCATCCGCTATGGATGGCAAACCTTTACGACTATAGTGTTATAATAATGATGCAGGAAAAACGGGACACTCTTCAGCCAGGGGACATCGAGGACGTCGTGACCACCAGCGACGAGGTGTGTCGGAATTTCCGACGACTACAGGAGGAAGGGCAGGTAATGTGTTATACATGGTCAGCTGTAAGCTCTTCCCATCTTGTTCTGGGTACACCGATCAACTCGCTAACTCCGCGTAGCTGGTTTTCCAATTCCGAGCAGGGATCACCCTGCTTTACATATTTTGGGTGACGCCACGAGAGCCAACCCTGGTACAACGGGCCTTGGAGGCGTTGTATATCTGCGCCGATAATGTTTCTCACCATGCACACCGCTGGCCGGATGCTACACCGTACGCGAAGATTATGGATTTTCTCTTCCAAAGCGCTTCGTGGATTCCCGCAGGATCGCCACGGAGCCATAGGAGTGCATGCTCTCGCGAGGAGCTGCCGCGGCACCTGACCGAATTGAAAAAACAATATCTACACAAGGCGGTGCTGCGGATGATTGAAGACATGCTCCTCCAATAGCCAGCTTTCTTACGGATAGAACCTGGACATGCGCGTGTACAATAGATTTCTTCCTTGAGAGGAGGTCTATCAGACCTTCTACAACAGCAAAAGTTTCCCAGTCTCGAGGCCTGTACTGGTCTGCGCCACAAGGATAACGATCGTCTGCGTCAGAGCGGGACTGGTCCAGCGCTTCCACGGGCTTTCGCGCGACGACGCTGGATACGTGGCTGACAGAGTGAACTGATTGCCGTCAACTTTTGCAGCAACCTCCTCCCCATTAACATAGCAGACGAGCCCCATAAGTGCAGCCCCATTGCCAATCTGGACCGCCCCCTGTACCTTCACATGCACCGTTTCCTCAGTGACTTCCTTGGACTGCTTGCAGACGTCCATCCGCGGCATCTCCCCAGACGCCCGAGCGCGCACCGCATTGGAAATCTGATCAGACGCCAACTGCGGAACAAGAGGCGGAACAGCGCGAGACCTTGTCGCATCTTCAAACACAAACGCGTACCGCAGCAGATCTACATCTTCATACGCCTTGCCCGCGAATGTCAAGTTGACCGGCATGCCCGTGTCCTCCATCAACCCCATGGGGACAGACACCGTCGGCACGCCCAAATGCCTGAACACCCGGTTTCCATTCGAGTACTTGACACCGTTACTCCAAGCGTACAGCGACGACTCAGCCGTCGAGTCCGCATCCGCGCGCCCAATGTCGCCATTCGCGGGGAACACGACGGCGTCGAGCCCTAGACCGTCCATCCACTTTTCCAGTGTCTCCACCCGCGCCGTCTCCAGCGCCGGTATCGCGCGGTCGAGCCCAGGAATCTCATAGATTGACGACGGCTTGTTCTCATCCCCAGCGTATGCGACCATCTCATGCCAGCGCAGCGCATTCGCCGCGTCAGGCGTACCAGGCAGCGAACCCGGCGCCAGCGGGAAGATGGATTCCGGGTCCACGGAGGCAAGAGTCTGTAGACCGGGCTGGGCGTTGAGAGCCAGGAAGTCGTTCCACGCGTGCGCGATGAGCTGGCACCGCTCCACGGAGTGCCAGTCTGCGGGGAGGCCGTCGACGGCGACAAGCTGGCCTGTGTGAGCCAGGGCCTCGTACTTTTCCATCATGGGAAAGTCGACGTCGACGACCGTCGCACCGCAGGACTCGAGGGCGCGGCGCGCAGATTCCCATAGCTGGAGGATTGAGGGCCGCGTGTTGACCTTGTCGGGGAGGGGGTTCGCACCGCCGATGTACATGGTGGGGACGCCGATGCGCTTGCCGCGGAGGGAGGCGGTGCTGTCTTGCAGAGAGGGGAAGTAGGCTGGGCGGATGGAGGCGGTTGATGGGAGCTTGACAATGCGCTGCTCGTTCCAGAAGTCGCCGGCAGGGGCTGCATCGACGACGGCGAGCACGTCGAGGACGCGGAACAGGTCAGCCATGGTGCGCGTGTGCGGGACAAGCACATCGCACGTTGGATACAACGGCCAGATTCCCCTCAGGGGGAGCAAACCCCTAGACGGGGTGTAAGCGACGAGGGAATTATTGGACGCCGGCGAGCGGCCCGACGACACGGTCTCGCTGCCGAGGCTGAAGGCACAAAAGTTGGCCGCCGTGGCAGTAGCCGATCCGTTCGAGGACCCCGACCCGTACGCGGCGGCCAGATAGTCAAGGTTGTAGGGGCTCTCAGCACGGCCGTACGAGCCGCGCTGCATGCCGCCGTACGCCATGGCGGGCATGTTTGTCCTACCGATTAGGACGGCGCCGGCCTCGCGCAGGATCTGCACGCAAGCAGCATCCTCTGTCGCGACGAGGCCTTCAAACGCAGGGGACCCGCTCGCGACCGTCATGCCCTTGACTTTGATGCTGTCTTTAACCAGGTACGGGATGCCCTCTAGCGGGCGTGCGGGCAGTCCCGCTGCGCGGCGCGCGTCCGAGGCGGCCGCTTCGTCGAGGACGGACGGGTTGAGGATGGGGATGGCGCTGAGTTTGGGGCCGGCGGCGTCGTACACGCTGATACGGTGTAGGTAGCGGGCTGTCAGGTCGACGCTAGTGATGCATCCTGCCGAGAGGGCATTTTGGAGGTCCTCGATGGTGGCGTCGATCAAGCTGAACGAAGCGGCGGTCTTTGCTGTTAGCAGAACACTCTACTGTCAGAGGATAATCCAACCTACAGAACCCATAGCGACGAGCAAACAGTTCAAAATCTACCGTCAGATTTTTCTCAAAACATAAACCAGCGCGCAAAGTCTATATACTCACCTCCCCCCTCATCGGTAAAGCCGTCGATCCGCGCAGCGGACTTTTCTCCGCTGCAGACAAGCCCTAACTCCAACCACGTGTTGGCTCTGCCGCAGCCTCCACTTTTGTATCGACAACAATTGGCCTGCAGGGCGGACTTTGGCCCGTTTAAAGGACCGATGGATGCAGGATTGCCAGTAACCCCGTGCGGAGAAGTGTACGATAACAGGGCTCGCCAAGAGATAACATCCCTGCCTCTTATCTTCGGCTAGACGATAAGTTGACAATGCTTTAGCTGGCGCGGGGAAATTAGTTCAGGTATAAAATGGATAGGGCGCAACTGTTGAACTGGCTTTTGCCATCAATTATCGTTGTTGCACCTATATCATGACCGACACGAAAGAAGTCCACGCCGACATGAAGGGCGTGCTGGACGCCGAGAAGAGCGAGGGGGTTGCGTCTGGCGAGATCCGCGATATTGGAGCTGAGCTGTATGCGGAGATCGATCAGCTGTCGCCCGAGGAGTTGGAAAGGGAGGGTCGTGAGGTGCGCAAGTTGTTGGATTGGCGGATTTTGCCGATAGTATGTGCCATTTTTGCTCCATGATACGGGAGAGGGGTTGATCTGACGGTGACAGCTGTATTTGACTTATGTTATGCAATATCTGGGTATGTCTTTCTTCCTCACGCCTGATGCAAGGAAGCCCTAGTGAGACATTGCTGACGTCGTCAAGACAAACTATCCCTCAATTACGCATCCGCATACTCGCTCATCCCCGATCTCGGCTTAGAAGGCCAGCGCTACTCGTGGGTGGCGGCCATCTTCAACTTCGGCTATCTTTTCTGGGCCATTCCGTCCAACCTGCTGATCCAGCGTCTGCCACTGGCCAAATACATGGGAACGGTGCTGCTGATCTGGGCTGGTCTGGTGATTGCGCATATTGGCGCCAAAAACTATGCTGGCATTCTGGTCCTGCGATTTCTCCTGGGTATGGCTGAGGCGTGTGTCAGCCCGTGCAGTAAGTCCCCTCCCAGAGAAGGCACTCCAATAAATACTGATGATATAGTGATGAACTTTACCTCCATGTTTTACAAACGCTCCGAACAACCCCTCCGCATGAGTCTTTGGCTCTCCGGAAACGGCATGGCCACGATGGTGGGCGCTCTGCTCGGCTTCGGGCTCGGGCACACCAACAACGCCAGCCTCCACAGCTGGCAGCTCATCTTCCTAACAATCGGACTGCTCAATTTCGTCACAGGAGTCCTCTTCCTCTGGATAATGCCCGACTCACCCAGCAGCGCCAAGTTTCTCACCCACCGACAACGCGTCATCGCCGTGCACCGCGTCTCCGAGAACATGATCGGCGTCAAAACCAAAGAGTACAAGCCGCGGCAGGCGCTAGAAATCCTCTACGACATCAAAGTGCTCTGCTGTCTGGGCCTGGGCATCGGCTGCGGTGTCATCAACGGGGGGGTGTCGAACTTCGCATCGTCGCTCATCAAGGGGTACGGCTTTGACGGGCTCTACGCAACACTGCTGCAGCTCCCGACGGGAGCCGTCGAAGCAGTCATCGTGCCAATCTGCGGGTTGATTTCCACGACTATTAAAGACTCCCGATGCATCGTCCTCGCCGTCGTCTGCCTCATCCCGTTCTCAGGCCTCCTCGGCATCCGCTTCACGGACCTCTCCCAACGCTGGACCCTCGTCGGCTGCACCTGGCTACAGTACATTGTCGGAGCCCCAGTCATCATCTCCTGGAATTTACTAGCAACAAACGTAGGAGGCCACACAAAGCGCTCCCTCGCCAACGGCTGCTGGTTCTCGCTGTACGCAGCGGGCAACGTGGCAGGCGCAAACATCTTCTTCGCCCGCGAAGCGCCACGGTATTACTCTGCGCTGGCGGGGCTGCTGATCTGCTACGCGGGAATGATTGTACTGGCGATGGTGGCGTATTTCGCGATGAAGGTGGATAATGCGAGGAGGGATAGGGCTGCGCCGGAGGAGATGACGGGCGCGCAGAGGGAGGAGGTTGCTGTGTTGGATGGGTTTAGGGATTTGACGGATATGGAGTCGAAGAATTTTAGATATGCGCTGTGATTTTTATGAGTTATGACATGGATTGTTTTTATTGTACTCGTCCAGAGGGCTTTGCAGACGTATGACAGATGACGTATATCAAAACAAGCAGTCTGTATCACAAGAGATAAGTCTGACAAGGGCTTCTTGGGGTGATATCAAAGATAGAAAATAGGTCATTGTAAATATAGAGACAGTGATTATAAGACAAGAGGCATGGTTGTTACCTGACTACAGGTTTAATGATAGATATTATGTTAAACAATAAAGGAACAGAAAGACTTGATTAGCATTAACTATGAAACAGATTGCATTATCCAATATAGTATAGTAACACAACCCTAAAGCGTCACTAGAAAGGCGTGTATCATTAACCTCGAAGGCACAGAAGGAGAACCCATATTACCCCCTACACTCAAACAGACACCAGCTATCCACAATAAGTCCGCTAAGCCCTCGGCTTCTGTCCATAGATAAAATGCGCATACACATACAACTGGCGATTCTCCCTGAACTCCTGCCTCGCCTTCGCAATTAGTATCCGACACTCAAGCTCACTCCAACCCAACACCCTCGTAAAGAGAGCAAGCGTGAGCGGCTCCACCGAATCGACAGCATGCACCTGCATCCACTGCCCAATCTTCTTCAACTGCTTATCCCTCGGCCACGACCCGATCGGAATCTTCAGCACATCCTCACGCACATCCACAAACCCGGCGTCCTTCATCTTGGCCCCCAGCTGCTC